GTGCTTCCAGAACAGCCTGGATTCGAGGATGGACGATGACCTCTATTGACTGATTCTGTGTATCGAGGGCCTCGTCGGTTGTTTCTCCACAGGCTGTTTGGCGAGTCGGCGTGTGCATCTATAATATGCGTACAATATCGACGGCACATGTCCGAGATAAGGTAGTCATCACGAGCAACAGCTTGAAGAATATCACTCACGAGCACAAAGTAGGCACACACTTCGTACCTACAGTAGTGAGTGGCACGTTGCAGCCAAACCAGGGATCAATTGGCCCGATTACTACTGGCAGTTTTGTTGCGCAATCGTTTGCTAATCGAGCTCTCTTGGGCACGAACACCTCTGTACATCTCAAGCTGCACTAACCTACCTAGATCCGCCATGCTGCATACGAGCTGTCCTTCGTTTGCCTTGCCATCTCAACGCAAGGCGTCCAAGAACGACTCGAGTGAGCAGAAGTGCCTTGCAGTGCTCTACATGTATCTTAGTGGTGAACGAGTGCGGTGGAGTTGCGCTATCACGGCCATGTCAGGTACCTGTGCCTTGGTGGGCTAAGATAGCGGACAATGTACCTGTGTTAGCGTGTTGTGCCGGTTGGCGAGCGACTTGACCGCGTAAATGGTTCACGCAAAACGCGTGCTTCTCGTGCCGCTACCTTATTGATGGCAATTTCCACGACTCTTCCACGGCAGCCTCTAATGCAGCCTCGCGCGAGCAGCACAAGCACCAGCATGCCGCAAAGAATTCGTGTTATGCCATCTTTATGAACGCAATGTGCACTCCTTGAACCCGGTTATGCCAACGCCCGCCCACTTGTGCAGCCATGTCAGCCCGGGATTCAGAATTCCCAAGTGCGCAGTCTGATGGCTCACGGCATTCTCGCCATATGCCCGCGCGAGCAAGCCTGGCCGTGAGGCAGAGAGAAGAAACCCATTCCAGCACGGGCGCCAAGCGGAAGCGCACGAATACGACGTCAGCCGGCGGCGCGTCGCCAGCTTCCACAATGGACGACGACGACCTGGACGATGTGTATGATCCAGACCAGCCGCTGGAAGAAAGGCGCAAGGTCCAGCAGGGCTTCCGCGATCTCCTCCGCAACATCACGGAACACAGCGAGGAGTATCTACAGGGCGATTCCCACGGCCTACACGAGACGATTCTACGGGCAAACGAACTATCCAAACAAGTACGACAGACGACAGAGGCCACCATCGATTCGCGGTTG